ATACAGGTCTTCTCCAGATCTTTCAGGTTTTGGGGCTGTCACTGGGCAACATGGAGTTTCAGCTCCCTCCATAGATTTTCTATTGGGTTCAGGTCTGGAGACTGGCTAGGCCACTCCAGAACCTTGAAATGCTTCTTATGTGGGCCTCTCCTTAGTTGCCCTGGCTGTATGTTTGGGGTGATTGTCATACTGGAAGACCCAGCCACGACCCATCTTCAATGCTCTTACTGAGGGAAGGAGGTTGTTGCCCAAAATCTCGCGATACATGGCTCCACCCATCCTCTTCTCAATACGATGCAGTCGTCCTGGCCGCTTTGCAGAAAAGCACCCCCAAAGCATGATGTTTCCACCCCCATGCTTCACGGTTGGGATGGTGTTCTTGGGATTGTCCTCATCCTTCTTCTTCCTCCAAACACGGTGAGTGGAGTTTATACTATTTTGGTCTCATCTGACCACATGACCTTCTCCCATGCCTCCTCTGGCTCATCCAGATGGTCTTTGGCAGACGACATGTGCTGGCTTGAGCAGAGGGACTTTGTGTGCGCTGCAGGATTTTAAGCCATGATGGTGTAGTGTGTTACTAATGGTAACCATTGAGACTGCGGTCCCAGCTCTCTTCAGGTCATTGACCAGGTCCTCCCGTGTAGTTCTAGGCTGATCCCTCACCTTTCTCAGGATCATTGATACTCCACGAGGCAAGATCTTGCATGGAGCCCCAGTCTGAGGGAGATTGACAGTCATCTTGAATTTCTTCCATTTTCTAATAATTGCACCATCAGTTGTTGCCTTCTCACCAAACTGTTTGCCTATTGTCCTTACAGATCTGTCCATTCTTTGTAAGTGGGAAAACTTGAAAAATCGGCAGTGTATCAAATACTTATTTGCCCCATTGTATGTGAAACTGTTGATGCAGCACATGCTTGTCCTACAGCTTATCAAGCCCCATGACAGAGAGGTTTTTTTTTAATTTGTGAACTTGCACTGCTTTCACTGACTCTCACACCTAGAGCAGACCATACAGGATGTATGATGAGTCCGAAGGCCACATCATTAGCTCTTAGCTGTGACACATTGCTGTCCTTGCTGAATTTTATAATAAAAACCTGCGCAGCACTTCCACATGCAGTACATGTCCCAATTCCTGAAATCAGAAGTGTGATTTGTTACTCTCACTGACTGTATATTCACCAGACACTGTAGAAGGGCTGGCAGCTGAGCTCAAGTGCTCCCCTGCACCACATATACCAGTAAGATAAGTAAGCAAAAATTATCATTGTTAGTGCTAGTGTCATTGATGCTGTTTATAATTACGTTTTAGGAATATTTGCAACCCCCTGAACACTGCATTGCACCTATATTTCTGTCAGTTGTTCTAAATAATGTATTAGCTCTGTATCAGGATTAGATTTTTTTCCCCTTGCAGATATTGTCCCATCTACTTACCTCACTTTGTTTACTGAATTCATTATGTTGCTTTAGATATCCTGGGTATTGCAGTTGCTTAGCACTGTAATAAGCTAATGTTGATTGTGGTTAGCTAAGGTTAATGTGCTGTAGCTTTTTAAATAAAGCTTCATGTTGAGAAGTACCGTACACTGTTTACAGTGACAGGTAGAAATGAGTATGACAAGGGCAGAACTGAGGAGAGTTGAGGAAGAGCCTAAATCAAAGATTTGTAAGTTACTTTATGAAGTCAGACACATCATAGATTGTGTTTGTCAAAAATGTATCTTGATGACTAAAATTTTAGCTCCAACTGATCCAGAAAACATGCTCCGCTTGAGGTTTTTCTACTTCAACATGCAGCTGTGACCAACTGGGACTCTTCCTATCTGGAAAGATAGATACAGTGCCTTGCGAAAGTATTCGGCCCCCTTGAACTTTGCGACCTTTTGCCACATTTCAGGCTTCAAACATAAAGATATAAAACTGTAATTTTTTGTGAAGAATCAACAACAAGTGGGACACAATCATGAAGTGGAACGAAATTTATTGGATATTTCAAACTTTTTTAACAAATAAAAAACTGAATAATTGGGCGTGCAAAATTATTCAGCCCCTTTACTTTCAGTGCAGCAAACTCTCTCCAGAAGTTCAGTGAGGATCTCTGAATGATCCAATGTTGACCTAAATGACTAATGATGATAAATAGAATCCACCTGTGTGTAATCAAGTCTCCGTATAAATGCACCTGCACTGTGATAGTCTCAGAGGTCTGTTTAAAGCGCAGAGAGCATCATGAAGAACAAGGAACACACCAGGCAGGTCCGAGATACTGTTGTGGAGAAGTTTAAAGCCGGATTTGGATACAAAAAGATTTCCCAAGCTTTAAACATCCCAAGGAGCACTGTGCAAGCGATAATATTGAAATGGAAGGAGTATCAGACCACTGCAAATCTACCAAGACCTGGCCGTCCCTCTAAACTTTCAGCTCATACAAGGAGAAGACTGATCAGAGATGCAGCCAAGAGGCCCATGATCACTCTGGATGAACTGCAGAGATCTACAGCTGAGGTGGGAGACTCTGTCCATAGGACAACAATCAGTCGTATACTGCACAAATCTGGCCTTTATGGAAGAGTGGCAAGAAGAAAGCCATTTCTTAAAGATATCCATAAAAAGTGTCGTTTAAAGTTTGCCACAAGCCACCTGGGAGACACACCAAACATGTGGAAGAAGGTGCTCTGGTCAGATGAAACCAAAATCGAACTTTTTGGCAACAATGCAAAACGTTATGTTTGGCGTAAAAGCAGCACAGCTCATCACCCTGAACACACCATCCCCATTGTCAAACATGGTGGTGGCAGCATCATGTTTGGGCCTGCTTTTCTTCAGCAGGGACAGGGAAGATGGTTAAAATTGATGGGAAGATGGATGGAGCCAAATACAGGACCATTCTGGAAGGAAACCTGATGGAGTCTGCAAAAGACCTGAGACTGGGACGGAGATTTGTCTTCCAACAAGACAATGATCCAAAACATAAAGCAAAATCTACAATGGAATGGTTCCCAAATAAACATATCCAGGTGTTAGAATGGCCAAGTCAAAGTCCAGACCTGAATCCAATCGAGAATCTGTGGAAAGAACTGAAAACTGCTGTTCACAAACGCTCTCCATCCAACCTCACTGAGCTCGAGCTGTTTTGCAAGGAGGCATGGGCAAAAATTTCAGTCTCTCGATGTGCAAAACTGATAGAGACATACCCCAAGCGATTTACAGCTGTAATCGCAGCAAAAGGTGGCGCTACAACGTATTAACTTAAGGGGGTTGAATAATTTTGCACGCCCAATTTTTCAGTTTTTTATTTGTTAAAAAAGTTTGACATATCCAATAAATTTCGTTCCACTTCATGATTGTGTCCCACTTGTTGTTGATTCTTCACAACAAATTACAGTTTTATATCTTTATGTTTGAAGCCTGAAATGTGGCAAAAGGTCGCAAAGTTCAAGGGGGCCGAATACTTTCGCAAGGCACTGTATGGTTCACTTTCTATTTCCAGCTCTCCTAATCATATCCTGCCACTCATTTTTGGTGAGAAAATGGCTGTTTTCAAACCAGGAGACTGTTTCTTTTTAGACAGAGTACTTATTAAGGGGTACTCATTAACAATGACAGTGTTATCTTGTGGAACATGGGAAAGAAGAAGAGAAATGGGCAACACTGGCCTAGTCCTGTAAAAGTTAAAATAGCCTAAAACAAGTTTCTTGCAATGTGAAATCAGTCAGTAGTCTCTTCATAGCTGGAAACTGTACTCTCAGTACAGCTCGGCCTGTGGTGAGACAGTGGAGTTACCCATGAGGATATGTTTGAGATAGGTATAATTGTTATCAGCTGTGACTGTGTAAAAAGCATTTTCAGATTTCTGCAATCATGGTTTTCCAGACCTATCTCAGTTTTTCTCCCTCACATGTTAAGGTAGGGCCACTTTAGTTAAGTGGGCTCCTGTTATTACATAAACTTTCAGTGGAATTTCTTAAAAGTGAGGAAAGATCTCTGAAGTGCTGGCAGGATGATTACACCTATGTCATAAAAAACCCGAAGAGTCTTGTCAGTGGAATTATTACCTTGTCACCAAAGTTGTTGCTTGTGGTACAGACAGAGAGAGACCTCCTGTTTACTAGGATCTTAATGTCAAGTGGAGGGAAGTAATGCTTTCTTTTAGGCTACATCGAAGCTTCAACATCTTAATTTCTAATGTCTAAAACCATAATCAACTTAATGTGCTATAAAGTCCTTTAAATGTACTGTGCAATTTTGCACTAACAGAAAATTATTCAAGTCATACAAAATTGAAATACTGCCATCTTCCAGTCTGTACAGATGGCAAGCAAACATTTGTTTTCATCAGGAAAACATACGTAAATGTTTTTGAGAGATTAGTCAGACCACTGATTGATTTGGTTATTTAACTAAGTTTGTTGTTGTTAGGATGGTTAAGATATTTATTTGATCTAAGCAAATCCATAATTTCCCAAAGTGTATGCACCCATGTGGGATAATAATATCCATTAACACCATTCTCTTAGTACAGGATAACATTTAAAAAGGTAAAAAGTACATTTCTAATGTTGTCATTCTGAACACAGCATGACACAGTCTGGAAAGAGGAAGAAGGTGCAGAAGTCACAGTTACAATCTATAGGGGTCTGGAGACTTTATAAAACCCACTATTTAACTTGTAATGTGGCTGAACTTCACATCCTAACCAGAAAATTGTGTTGTGACAAAGCACATGTCTAAAATATTAAAATCTCTTGCCTGAAGTATCCAATGATGAAGATGGCCACTAGTAGAGAGCTAAAGGACACAGCATAGCCAGTGGTATACATGACGTACAGCCGCTCAAAGAAGTCTTGCTGTGAAAACAGACAGAAACATTAGCTGGTCAATTCACTCTCTAAGACGAAACAGTCTCACAGTATACACAAGCATGACTCACTGCTGCTTGGCTAAACAAGATACTGCAGTGAGGAAATAAAGTATTCACCACTGGTGTTTTAGGGGTAAAGCTGCAGAGATGAGGAGATGAAGGAATAACAGGTGCACCAAATATTAAAGTTGAAACTAACACTAATGTTGCTACAGTATTAGCCTGCAAATATGCCAAATTAAATAAGTGATTAGTACCCTGTTCCCAGATGTGGTGCTACTGTATGTTAGTGTGTGCTTTCTCTGAACTTAAAGTGGGAAAAGGTACATTTATAAAGACTTGGCATAGATGTTGCAGTTTAAACTGTCAATCTCAGACAGATGGAGGGCTTTACAAATTCTCATAAACTGGTAAACACATGAGGAATGTTAACAAAAAACTGTTTTCAAGCATTGATCAAACTCTGAGGAGCCAGAGGATTCAGTTGATACCATGAACAAAATACAAGATCACTTCCTGGTAACACCTTTTGATTTGAGCAGACAACAAATAGTCCCTCGGGCAATATGGCTGCTTAGATGAATGGGTTGAATATCAAAAGGTGGATAAGATGGATGAACGCAAAAGCAGTAAACATTTATACTAATACACACTGGATGAGCTAATTAGCTAAATGAGCTGCTGCAGTGCTTACTCTCCTGTCCTCATCACTGGGCTGAAGGAAGTGCAGACACTCAGAGTAATTTGTCCATGTTTTGTTCCAGCGGTCCACAAACACCCAGGAACCATTGACATCACACTTCCTGTAAGCATGTCCTGTAAACACATACTTTACAGTGTTTTTAGACATTTACAGACATTTCTTTTAAAACACGGTCCTGACTGAGGCATCATCTCACATCCATAGGAAAACATCTTACAACAGTTTCAGGTAATTGGAGCAGGGGTTTTTTTGTAGGACACAAGTGATTTTAATTCCTCTGGCTAATTACACCTGGTCTTAACAGTGCTTGATTGACACCTCCTTGACTCTCCTATTAGCTTTGTTGCCAAAAACACCCTTATCATTTTTATAGGATGTTTCACAGAAGACAACTGCAGGTAAGTAGCCAAGTCAAAACAGCTGTGTGGGTGTGCTTTTAACACTTTCTGGATAATCTGTGTAACTAATAGAACAAAGAAATGCTTTACAATGAAAGTGTTCAAGTTTGAATATTTTGGTTTTAATTTTAAATTTCAGTATAAAATAAGTTGTGAAGATTTTAGCATAAGTTCACCAACTGTCAGCCAGCCTCATCTCATTGTCACACTAAGGTTCCACCATCTCTCTTCTATTATCCAGTAATTTAGTGAGTTTTCTGTGTGGAACTCCTATCAACCAGTGACCAGGATATTTAAATAAATGAAGGATATTTAAATGACCTTACCTAGGCTGTTTTGCTGCTGTCTATTCTGCCTTGTAGCTTCATCAGGGTCAAGGGTCCATATAAAGCTCCAGGGGGATGTTGGACTGTTAATCATAGAGGCCTGTCCTTGTACATCTCTATTTTGACAGGGTTTATGCTAAAAGCCTATATTAAATATAATTCCTACATTCATGTAAATTTGTGTCTTCCCTGATTGATCTTTAAATTACAATTTACATTTACAACAGTTACATTTTTCTTGACATTTGTTCTTTGTGACCTCCTAGCTCTCAGTGTTATTTGAATTTTAAAAAAGAAGTTAACCTTTGTGATTGAAGTCATAGATGTAAGATGGGCAGGGAACCTTAGTAACCAGCCCAGGGGAGCCATGGGGCCAACAGATAAGACCGTCCCAGTCTGGAGGACACACTTCATCTGCAGTGAGAAGAAGAGCAAGTCAGCACACTCTCACTAACTTTGACTTTTAACAGAATACCTTGATTTATTTATTTTTTATTGCACATTTCTTTATGTATTTATGTTTATGGTGACATAGTGGTGAGGTGGTTAGTGCTGTCGCCTCACAGCAAGAAGGTTCTGGGTTCGACCCGCCTTTCCGTGCGGAGTTTGCATGTTCTCCCTGTGCCTGTGTGGGTCCTCCCCGGGTACTCTGGCTTTCTCCCACAGTCCAAAGACATGCAGCTTAGGTTGACTGGTGACTCTAAATTCCCCACAGGAGTAAGTGTGGGTGTGTGTGGTTCTTTGTCTACATGTCAGCCCTGTGACAGACTGGCGACCTGTCCAGGGTGGACCCCTCTTCTTCTTCTTCTTTGTTTAGGGAGACTACTGGCGTTTGTCTGGTAGTAGGTTATCTGGTTCTTAGCCTATTCATATTGTACTGTGGCAACAAATCTGGCAAATTATTCATGGTTACAATTAATGAGCCTTGATTTGATTCTAACTTTTAATTCTGGTTGGTTGCTGATAAACCTCTGCTGAAGTAATTTTCTAAATGTCAGACTTGTCTTTAACAAATGACGTCTAGGCTAAGTATAGCGTTAATGTCAAGTGTATTTTTATCATGTACGTATGATGAGTCAAAGGTCTTCACATCTCCATGTTTTAAATAACCACTGAAATTCTCTTCTCATAAGAAATAAAACCCGTTTGTGACTGTCTACAAACTGTGACCAGAAGAATAGCACCAGTAGCACCTAACATAACATGTCCCAAGGAACTAGAGTAGCTCACGCAGTGTGCTGCCTGACCAGGTCAGAAAGCAAGGTGTGTGTAAGTGGTCTAAATAGCCACACTAGAAGCTGTGGTGAAAAGCTGCCAAATAAAGGAGCCAGATTGAATCATTCTGTCATTGTAGTGATAACAGCACACATTTTCAGATAGTCTCCTAAAAGACATTCATAATATGGCACTCATTGGTTCAAAGAAAAAGAAATAGTTGTGTACATAATGGGAAGGATTCCAACTCTGTCAAGGAGGTGTGAATGTTGGAATGGTTCAGAAACCACAGAAACAGGTCAGAAAAGGGGTTCTAGTGTTTAATGTTGTGGAGATAGTGGCTGTTAAATGTTGATAACTGAAAGCTCTCAAACCTGTACGACAGTCAAAATGTTCATTAGGCACAGGTTCACAGAACTTCGAAAACAGCTGCTCTCACCATTGGAACACATTTAAAATATACATATATATAGTCTACATGGTTTGGACGCATGTTTTAGGTGAAGACAGTCTGGTCTTGCACACTGCTAGGTGTCCTTATGCACAAACATTCAATTGTTTATATTCATATCATGAAAATATGCCTACTGTATATATGTAATAAGTAAATGCCATTTTAACAACGTTTACCTGGACACAGAGAATATTCAAAATACCCCAGTTGTGAAGAATTGTATAGCAGTTTACACAAATGCAAGTCTTTCAGTACATGTTTTGTACCTGCGGACCCTGGGTCGACGCTGGAGAGGTTCTGGTAGCACTGCAGTTTAATTTCATAAAGGATGAACATCTGCTCCTGTGCAGAGAGAGGACCATCGAACCCCATCTGTGAGGCACAACAAACAAGATCAGATCTGTGACCCTGTGTCTGTGTGTAATTCACTACTATACCATTCTGTATGTTTTACCTTTACAGAGAGGATTTGTCAGGCATTCATTTCATCTTTGCTCATCTAACCTCAACAGGCTCTCTATTCATTTTACATTAAATTTTCTTGTAGCATTGAAAGCACTGCTAGGTCAAGCACAATGCTGCATATCAAACATTCCAGTGTGTTTTCATTTCTGGGGCATCAAATACTGAAGTTTTGTTAAATTTGCATCTCATACTGATGTTAAAGGCTGCCTTTGGCTCCAGTATGAGACACTCTGGGTTTTCATCACAGAGCAGCGTTAGCCCACGTGCATCAGTACACAGCAACTACTGTACATGGAGGAAAATATCATGGCTTGGTTTAAAACACACGCTGATTAAAAACACTTCTTCATACATCAATGCTCTGCTCTCCTGTGGGAAAGTTCAATGTTTGTGTGACCCACTGTCCAAACCAGCCACTTTCTCCCATAATATATACTATGACCTCTTGCTCTGGGCAGCAAATGTTGATGCGAGTGGATAATCTATTGAAAATCCTGTGGGACTGTAAAGCTGCACTTTATCACAGCACAATCAAGCTACAGACATGTTGTACTGTAACGTTTAAATCCATTAGTACACTGGTCCATATTTTATGTTTGTTTTACCGGAGCTTTATTTAAGATGTCTGCAGCCATTCAGTCAGTGAACATGATCTGTATTTTGAGTTTTTGTTTTTGTTTCCCTCACAAAGTACTGTATGTGAAAGGAAGCGCTGTGGAAATGCTTCTGTGACAATGGCTAACTGTGGTCAGTTGGTTTGAAGTTGTTCATATGTGACGTCGTTAGGTCAGATTACACAGGAATTCAGCTTTGGATCATTGGAGCTTTGCTGTGAATATTTATAGTCTTTTAAAAGTAAAGAAAAAGAGAATTTTATTGTAGCAAGGTCACAGTCAGACTTTGTATGGAACTTTCCTTGTATTGTTGGAGGGAGGAGAGAGAATCCTAGTGCTGCGCAGGCAAGACAGGGACGGATAAAGGTGTTTCCATGGCAGCAAACGTAGAAGCACAAGTCAAGTCCCTGTGGGGGGCGGGAACTATCTGGCCTTCTTAGCTTTTATAAAAACACCACTGACGGTAAATAAATGTGTGCATGAGAAGTTTGCTAATGTTCAAAAACATGAAGCAATGCTGTTGCCACACATGAATACAGAATCCTAAGCTTGGTAGCACTTAAACATACAGTATTCTGTAATTACAATAAATTGTCTTTCTGAGAAGTGCAGGTTGGTTGTTTCACCAAATCAGGAATTTAATCTAAAACAGAAAACAATTTGTTAAGGCAAAGTGTTAATATAAGAAATCCTCCTCAATTTGAGCTTAGCAAACTGATCAGTGCAACAGCTCAGGATCAATTCTACTTCTTCTGTTACCAGAAGGATTAAATGTCTGGGTTGTTGTGAGTTTCACTAAAATCATTCAGCCAGAAAAGCAGCAGAAAAACAGCAGGAGCAACAAAACAAAACCAGTTATGGATGAAAAGGAAGAGAAAAAAGAGATGAAAACAGAAGAAATGAGGAAAATTAAAGAAAATGATGAAAAGAGGAATCTTGTATAAAACACAACAATAAACCAGGATTAACAAACAAGGAATTTAACACAACAAGAGCATAAAAAGCATGAGATAAAAAGAAGAATTAAAGACACCCTGCGGTAGAGAAACTGGAGGCTGACAAAATACAATAAAGAAAAACTGCTGAGAAAGGAACCCAACAAAGGTTTGACACAAGACAAATGGGTTGAAAAGAAAACTGAAAATACAAATAAGAACAACAGCAAATAGGAGAAATAAGAGAACAGAAAAAAATCAGATGTAGAAACTTTAAGAAAACAGAAGTTAACTGCTTAGATGGACTAGACTTGCACTGAAGAATACAGGATGAGAGGACGCGACCAATGACAAGCAGAAGGATAGTGTGAGAGAGAGAGAGAGTAGTGCCAACAGGAAGACAGAAGGAATAAAGTGTCACAAAGGCAGGCCTACAGGAGCAAGGTCAGAGGTAAGCCAGGCTTATATTGCAATGGATCAACTGTGCCTTCATGGTGTAAGCAGGGTTAATGAAATAACTGCACATGAATAAATATATAACACACCATTTTTCCACTAAGGCCAGCAGACAGACAGTAGACAGAGAATGAGTGAACTAAAAGAAATGTGAGAACAGAAAAGGTGGGCGATGCACAAACCAATAGGAAAGGTCGGTTTTACATAGCATAATAAATTCTGTGTCCATGTGTGCACGTGCATCTGGTATTACTCAACTTGTGGGAACTGAAACCTATTTATACAGCCACACTGTGGAAACTCAGCCTTCTCCGTGTAAATCACTGAAGGTTAGGGTGAGTCTCCAGAAAATGAATTTAAGTTTATATAAAGTCACCACAAGGACAGAAAAAAACGTGTGTGTGTGTGTGTGTGAAATACATCATTATTGTAGATAGAAATATAACCTCTGACTACTTCCCTCCAAAAACAAAAACAAGCCCCCGTTAAGCTTCACTTAGCCCCTGATCTTTTCAATTGTTAGAAACACCCCCGATCTATGAGAACTGTGGCTCAATCAGGCCACAAGACATCTACAGAAAAACAGATGAACAAAGTCAAAGGTGACTGCCGTTGATGACTTTAAGATGTTTTCACCGCTCGTTGTCACACGGTGCAGCGTCTGTAAACTTTGCTTGTTCACAACTTGAGATATGAGAGTCATGATGCAGTCAGTAGGAGTCACTTCATTTAAAGTGTGAATTGCCATGAGCCTGAGAAGGGATCATCTGTGTCACAACAACACCATCTGTCAAACCTTCACAGTCTGAAAGAGGAGTGAATGGATCAGGAGCATACAGGCAGTTTTGCCTTACGAGAGAAACAAAACAGTTTTGTGCCCTTGTGGTAGGTGCCATAAAAGCCCAATTTCCAGGTTTAGGAACTCTATTATATAATAACTTATTTATAACCAGTGGTGTTTACCTTTCTGAGCATGTAGCTAGAACCATTTCACTAAAGCTATAGTTAGAGCATACGTTTTTCATCTTACTCAAGCTTTTCTCAATCCAAAAGGTTTTTTAAACTTATTCAAAGTTACTCTTAAAGTTTTATTTGATCACAGGTAAAAAATTGTCTCTTTGACCTATATTTAAAAACTAGTCTAGAACCAAGATAAAGAGATAAAGATAAATCTTTATTGTCATTGTGCAAACACAACAAAATTGTCACTGTATCATACTCGTTTATGTTGCACAGTTAATAATAGATATATAAAAACACACATACATGCATGTGTGGGGTAATAAGTAGAATAAAAAAAGGTTAAAGCTAGTTTATAAAGTGATACATTCATGGAAGTATGTGCAGTGGTTGCATGAATTGGACAGTCTAAGTATGTTGTGGGGGAAACGCTGTTCTTCATTCTATTGGTGTGTTGTTATTTCTCTGTAGCGCCTTCCGGATGGCAGAAGCTGAAACAGGTGATGTGCCGGGTGGGTATTGTCTTTTATGATGTTTTTAGCCTTGTTAATGCAGCGACTAGCGCTCGAGCTTGGGCAGGTTTGTACCTACAGTGTTCTGTGCTGTTTTCACAATGCGCTGGAAGGCCTAACAGCTTTGTTCCACACACGGTGACACTTGGAGCCAAATGTGGAGACCATAAGTGTCTGGGTGTGCTCCATTTTAAATGATCGCCTTATATCAAACATTATGGTTCATTTTCACAGTAAGAGCCTTTCTCTTTCTCCCCTTTCACTCACAAGACTACACGACTCAGTGAAAGCTGTTATTAAGCCCTTCAGCTGTGGAACACCCTGACACTTCTCTCTCTCTCTTTTTAATGGCAGGGCTGCTTGTTATCAATAGAGGCAACTGAAGACCAAAGGCTTTCATTTGGAGAAACAGTTCTGTATGTCCATGTATCAGATCCCAAGTTTTATCCCTTGGTTTTCCAGTCAGTCTCTCATTCCTGATTTATTTTGTTTTCCCTTTTTTATCGTTTCCAAACATTTTATTGGAGAAGTGGGCTTCTGTAGTGTCAGGTCAAACACTGTACCACAACACTGTAGAAGTGTAAACAACCAGTGTATTTGTATTCAGCAACACTTTGACACATTGAACTCATCCATAGAGTTTCACCTTCTTGGCATGGAGGTCAAGGGTGTCAGGCCATGCTTTGAAAGCATCCACCAGATCTGAATTGGACAGTCTAAGTATGTCCCCCCCCCACCAGCCCTCGGCCAATTTACTTAGGTGTTTTGCCCTACATCCTTCTCTTTCTTTGTCTGTCTACTCTCACCACTCTCCTGACTCTGCTGTTTGGTGCTACCTTCTGCTTCCTCCTGACTGGTAGGGATGCGGATATCCTGCCTCTTTGGTTACTCACCTGTTGCCCCTTCTTTGATGCCACTTTCCTCCAGCCACAGCAACATACCTGCAGCTGTTTTTCTTCTACTTTTGATATTGTTTCTTCCACTGGAGTGCCCTTCTCGGTGCCAAATCCGTTCCAAGGTCAATAATCAGGTGTCCTGCCTGTGAGTCATCTTCCATCCCCGCGCTCGCTGGTTCTTGGGGTTTGCTCTTTTGTTTACTTGTGGCTTGATTGGTGCAACCTAAACACACTAGGCTACTGCTGTCATGGGTTGCCACTCCATGCGGCCCATGTGGGGTCTATTTCCTCCTGTCAGCTGTCTTTCCAGGCTGTCACTTGGTCTCTCCCTAGCTGTCAGCTGCCTTATTCACAGCAGCCACTAGCTATGAATTAAACCCCATCCCGAAGCATATCTAATGTTATAAGCATACATGCTGCCTCAAAGTTGAACTTTTGTCTAATCATAAATCCCACTTGAACAGAGGAATTCAAAAACAACCTTTTAGTGACACATATGGGAAGCATCCCTAAACCAGCGCGTTACATTTACATGACATTTAAGTTACACTGAGCTACAGAAACTGAGAGTTGGATATTTCTACAGTCCATCTGAACTGAATGAGGTATTTGGAGTTTGAAAATGTTATTAAAATACAAAATAAGGATTTGGATTTGCTATATTGCCCGAGTTTTAACTGAACTATTTTCATGTTATTATTCACTATTATTTACACTTTAGTCGCCTTTCAATTTCATGGCAGTATACAACAAGCCCTTGTACTGTTTCTAGTGTATCCCTGTCATTCAGCCCTAGTGGTAAAGACGCTGTCCGTGGTGCTGATAAGTCTGAATTCACACACAGCACAGCCACCATTAGGCTTCGCTCTGAAAAGCCAGGTCCTCAAAGGCCAGTGACTAATAACTGTTCAGGTCTGGTGACTCATGTGTCACAGTTTTCATCGATAAAGACTCGTGTTACACTCCTCATTTCTGCATTTTTGGTTGGGCAGCACCACTTCCAACGTTTTAGGGAATGGTCTGAAACTGAAATCTAATTAGAAAACAGACTACCTTTATCTACGGGTGTAAAGCAAACTGACAGGAGATGAATACAACTCAGCTCAAAGGAGCCAGACTGCACCGATACAGTCACGGTCGTAATAAAAAGTCACTGAAATGATGACCAGCTTATGAACAGGAGATGGAGACAAACTACACTGTACTGACAGTCGAGTTCTGCTACGAGCAATGTAAATGATATGTTCCCTGGTGGTAATTACTTCCTTTGGCTTCTTCCTTTCGGGATCATACCTCAACAACACCATAATATTGAAACAGGATACACAGAAAATGGATAAATAGCCTATCTCCAGAAATTCAGTATTTTTTATTCTTATTATTTTTACAAACATAAACGTTGGATGCTATTTCGACACAACTATGACTTTAGTACCAAATACAGCGACTCCTAGTGTCAACGCAGTTTGCTTCAAGAACAAGTGGACAAATGTATTTCCTTACCTGTGAGTCAACTGAAGTCCACCACAAGAAAAAGTTTATTGCTAATATCCACAAGAGCAAGTTCATAGTTCATTAGTCTGCGTTCAGCTGTGTAAAAAAAAAAAAGCCCAATGGCAGCCTACGTTCATCTGAATTTAAGCAACAATGCGCTTGACACAGACATCTCTGCTGTTGTTGACTCGTTACTGACTAAAAGGCTGCACATTATTACAATGTTGTGATCCAAAACTGAGCTGCTCAACGTAAGTGGGAAGGATGCGGCGATGGAATTGGTCAGATCACAAATCCCACGTGGTTTTCCCATTCAGACAGTCCTCGTACTCAGAAGGGTTCTTCTCCACAATGAGTAACATCTCATCGCTGCCTCTAGACGAAATGTCCCGGACGCACGCTGGCACTGGAGATTTCAGTGGCCCCCATTGAAAATAACAAGCAGAGCTCGACTTGTGCGCGATGGGAGGAAAAGTGCGCTTCATGACGAAAACTACCCTGCACACTCTCCACTGCACAGAGAAGGACGGTACTTATGTGCTGTCTGTACTTGCTTCTTATAAAATGCAACCATTCGATTATGATGTTCTCACCCCTCCCGCATTAATTCATAGCTTGTAAATTCGATTGTCGTGCGTCACTTTTGGCGGATTTTCCCCCCTTTCGCTGCGTACACTCACGTCATGCGCTGTGCACCAAGTGCCAAGTGACAGGGGAACCAAAACATAACAGTCACTACAAAAAATGACAACAATAATCCATCTAATATAAATACAGGCTAAACACAAACTAAAGAGACACCACTGATCCAATTAACAGTGTAGAATATAACTTTTTCAATCAATAAAACTAAAGATGGTGCCCCCTCCCTGTCTCCCTGCGCACGCGTCATGCAACAGGTCAGTGTGAATTCCTGCATGTAGAAAAGAAGTGCCCTTGAAAAGATGAGACTCCGTGCAGAGCAAATAAAAAAGAAGAAGATGAGAGATGACTCTCGTGCATCGCTCACAGGTCAGTTTGAACTCCCACACAGTCAGGAGGTAACGGGTCAGCTGAGCTGCCGTTTGTGCGTCAGGAGGGAGAATTCAGCTCCATCTTCTTCAGCATAACAGCAGTCGTACTTTGAATAGTCTTGAAATATTTGCTTCAGACTCTGCTCACGCTGACCAAACAAACGCAGAATCTAATTCATTTTCTCTGATTTTATTAAATAATCGTCACACAGCAGCAGGATCGCTACTTCTCCTGCTTCAGGTTGCTGCGCACTTTACGCAATGTGGCACAGCTGCAGTAACTTTATTCGGTATTTAGATATTTTAATGTGACACTGTGATTATATAACGGCCTTGTCAACCTGAATGCTTTTCTGCACAATGAACAGGTGCCTTCTTACACATTCACAGTTTCTACAGCGAAATCATTGGGGAAAGCAACGAAGCTCAGGATGAGTTCACCAGCAAAGGTTTAAACATAGTTTCTTCTGGTGAATCACTGTATTTGTTCTGGTGTGGCAAATGGATTGCTACAAGCAGTTTTTACTTTTTCTGCTCAAATACAAAAATGTGCATTTGTTGTGACATTACTGAAAACATGGATCACTATCATTTAAATAAGTATTAAAACGGTGGGTGGTAGTGAACCATAAATTCAACACACACACACACACACACACACACACACACAAATCCACTAGCAGTATTTCTGTATTTTGGCAAAGGGTTGCTTGAAGAAAAAAAAAGTAGACATTGTTGCTCAGAATAATCCACAGCCACAGATTGTAATATCTACAGTTAATTTAAACTGCTGAAGAACCCACCCCACCTACACCCAACTCCTCAACCTCAGTGGACAAATGCTTCCACTTCGCACAAATAATATTGAATCCCTGCAGTCAGTCGTACTTACTGTAATCACAAAAGAAGGTAAATGCTCTCAATGCACAGAAAAAGTAGTGCACATCCTACAGTGCACTCTGCACAGACTGACCTGTAGACTACGCCACTGAATGACAAGCTGTTATGGTGTGTGCTATATGTGGACCCAAATGCAGACATGAAACAGGAGTGTAGTGACAAGGTTTAAATAATGATCGTGGGATAGTGAACAGGCTGCAGGGAAATTCCAAACAGGAAAACTAAGACAATATAAATAAAGCAGAGGCAGACTAACGAGGAGAAGGTAATCATCGGGATGCACCCCAGCTGTGTGCAGCGACAAACCAGTCGCTAATTACTGGAATGCAACACAGCTGAGGTGCAGAGCCCACAGGATAGAGAGAGCAGAGGAGAGAAAAACGAAGGAGAGGCAGCGGCCGCCGAGCGGCCCTGACAAAACAACTCCAGAAACACAACTATAATAATGACACAAGGGGCAATAAACTCAAAACAATACAGTGCACAAAAGAAAGAAAAGCAAAATAACTGATCTGAGTAAAAAAAAAAAAATAAAACAATATACTGGGCAACAAAAATCAGCACAAAAAGAATATGTTCAAGGGGCAATACTTAAACTGGGGACAAAGGCTGACCAACGAACAAGCAAAGCGAATAATGAGTCTGAGTCAACTAAGTGCAGAGAAACAAGAGTCCAAACATACTAGGCTCCAAAACAATGAAAGGCACAAGGGGCAGAGTCCAAACTAAAGCAGGCAAGGTACCACAGGAGATGATCACAGGTGGAGATACACAGCTGAACCAGCAATGAACTGAGGGAGGTGAGGTAAATATTCAGGGAAGGCCATAGGCAGAAACAGTGAGTAACAGTTATATCTAATTGAGGTCAATCAATTAACAGAATCAAGCTGGGGCAGGTGAGGGTGGCATAGCCCAGCAAGTTACTTCAAAATAAACATCCAAAACAAGAATGCAAAACCAAGACCATGACACGAGCTGTGCAATACCCTTACACAGACCCATATTCTCCTGCATTTGGCTAAAGCTGCACTTATGTGTGCAGTGAAAAAAAGAGTTACAATCAACAGTGAATCAGAAAAATAAGAGGACAGAAAATAGAAGTTGACTAGATAGACTAAAGGATAGAGAGCTATCAAACAGAGAGAGCAGTGGCAGCAGGGAAACAGAAGTTATAAAGTGTCAGAAAACATATGGGCCCAGAAAAGAGAGAGGTCAGACCTATACAGGAACTAAACCAAAGGTAAGCCAGGCTTATACTGCAATAAATCTACTTTGTCTTCTTGTTATAAGCAGGCAAAACTACTAAAAGTGGTTAGAAATGAACAAGAAGCTCAGTAGTCTTTCATACATTTATTAAAGCATGCAAGGTCACTGATCTGAATTCTCACAGGAGCAAACAGAGAATGACAAAGTATGAAAGGATTCTTCCACTCTTCATAGGCAGGGCAGACAGGCAGCAGGGTGTGGAGACAAACCCGTGTGCCAAAGGTGATAACTAACTGCAGGATACAGTGTGATGAGTGTCTTGACGGTTTCAACAGGACATGTTCCACCCTGAAAGCGAAACTTCAACCTTCCACTTTTCTATTCCAGGAGTCTGAACCCTACTTCTGTCACCTCAGCCCCCTGCTGTACAGAAGCCACATGCAATCAGAAACAGGAAATAAGAATATTCATTCATTGGTTTAGCTAAATAAGGTTATACTGATTAAAAGGGGAATGTATCATTACAAAGTGTAACAATAAGGCAAGGCCTGAAAGTTGTGTTACTACAGATTTAGAAATACCTTGCATATTGAATACAGCAATTTATCTATTAAAATTCAACAATGAATGACCTTCAAACAAAGACCCCTGTCTCTTCACAGGGCTTTTGGAATAACTGTATGTAAACATCAATATTTTTTCACTAGGGTCTGCAAACATTGACCTGTTGAGTGGGCAGCGTTCAGTCCAAATCCGTTATGGAATGGGAAGTTGGATAATGAAAAACAAAGACCTTATTTTAAATTTTCATTTTAAAATGCAAAAAATGAATAAGCAAAATGCCATTTTTAATGACATTTAACCACGTATGTACCTGACAAAATAAGATGTTTCCTTTTTTTGAATGAGGAAAGTAGAATAATGTGGTTAATGTGCTGATTTCCCTTTGTCTCTCTCACTAGGTGTGACTGAGTGTCACCTCCCCCGTCCCGGTGGATCTGGCTGCAGCTGTGGCGTATTTCCTAATCAGGCTGCAGATACTTAAGCTGGGTGTGTTGGCTTGATGATGCATGTTGTTTGTTTCCATCAAAGAAATACACCGTCAGATTTCTGAAGGAGTTTGAGGACTTTATATACAGGTCGGGTAGACACAGCCAAAGAAGTGGAATGACAGCCAGCAGCAGCCTAATTTAAAAAAATGTCTATTGCAGTCCGTTTAACTAAATGTGTTACTACTATGACTTTACTGGAAGAGGTTACATTTAAGTTAGAGCAGCTTGAGTTATACAGCAAACTGAATGTTATGTTTGTTCTCATAAAAGCAAAATTAGCCAGCTGGATCTTTGAAGTGAGTTTGGTCACTTTCTATGAACAAAAACAAGGAGCTTATAAAGTGAATGCCGTGCGCTGTCCTTCGTGCTGAAGAGAAGAATTCTGAACAACTTTTCACTCAGGAATCTGAAACCCTGACCTCAGCATCTAACCCCATCCACCTTCCACCAATAAAACAATCTGCAGAAACATGTTTCAACCTCATATTTGTAGTTTTCACTACACATTTATTTCACTTGCAGTTTTTATGAACTGATGTCACAAAATGTGCTGAAGAAATATCTGATGCTTCATTAACAGTAGTTTGATAATTGTTTGCCTTTTTATGCCTCTGCACAGGCGACAGCTGGGGCTAGAAAAATAATTCTACAGGGTGTCAACCTGTGCACTTGACGGTACAATTCAATTTAATTTATTTGTATAGTAATGTGTGATGACGGCGCTTCCCTCTGCTGATATTGTCCCTTCAAGACCTCATCAAGTCAGTGTCAACTCTCAGGACAAAACAGGTTGGTGCAGACATCTATAGCCGGCCTCCTCATCTCCGATGGATCAGTTATGGTCTCATTTACGTCACCAGGTTGTTTTCCCTTCTTCAGTTTTCTAAGGTTGGGCACCAGAGTCAGAAAAGTCACTCAATCATAAGTACAAAAAAAAAAAAATAAAGATTTAATGAAGTGGACAGAAGAGGATACCTGACATCTCTGAAGGTTAACAACTCATGGTGCAGGGGCCTCATCATCAATGAGGGTTTGGTACAGCAGGGTCTTCATCTTCTTCACAGCTGAGCACAACTTCTGTGTCACAGCATCCCACATCAATTTCTCTGGCAGGACAAATTGGAACCATGGTTCTTAAACTAGATGTGTTCACTGGGGACAAGAAATGTAGGTCTGTTAGTTTAAACATGTAATGCTTGTACATTGTACAGAAGTTAAAGTGAAATGTGTGCTGGCTTCTTTGTCCCTCTCCACTATTCCCAGCTTAAGGGCACAATGCATTAACTGGGTTTATCCAGTCAGGTCTACTATGTGTATCCTCATCTTGACCTGTGATAGTCAGAGCTGGCTCTGTCTCACCAAATCTACCCCTTGAACATGTCAACATCAGTTGTACCATACGTCTCTTAATAGGATCA